CAGCTTAACTTCTGGGACTCGAGATTAAATGACCCATTGATACTACCTCTCAGTTCAATTAGACCTTCGTTGAATACACGATTCACAGTTAGTGGTGCCAACGTCTCTTCTTTCCACTACTTTTATTCTCATTAGGCGTCTTAGGGTTTTCTATATTCATTGCAAATATTTCGTGAGTGTCATCCCAATCACAAGTTTCGCTATTTATACATGGTAATCCGTGTCGCCAAATTCCTCAAATGTGCTGACCTCGAACTTGTTAAAATTGAAGAAGGAAATAAACCCTAGGATTGTTTTAAAATTATAATGAGTTGGGGGATTTTCCCCAGACATAAATAGAGACAGATTGTAAAATTGTATTCTAACCTTGTAAAATTATGTTAGGGGTAAGGAAAAGTAAACATACGCATTTGATCCAAAAGTCGATGTAAAAACTCTAATTTATTACAGCCTGAGTTTTTCCTCTAATGCACTACTACCATTTAATTTGTATGTAACAATACTAGATTGTGGGTTAAGGTTTTTCTTTGATTCTAATCTAACATAACCTAACCAATAATAACTTAACTTATATAGGCTTACCTCCGTCAGTAGTCCAAAATTGTGTCTTATTTCAACTAATGTTGTTCAAAGCTTACATGTTTCGTTGCACTGCAACATTGTCGGAGCTTTATGTCAAAAACATCAAATAATTTAAACATAGAACAAAACACGGAACACAGAACATTTAAACACGAAATAACACAATAGCGCTATCATGACACGGCACGGTAGTGGTTGTAGGTAGACTGGACACGGGTTAAGTAACTTCGTCCCGTCCTTCTCTGTTATCAGCTCGGTAGTCAGCTGTTCCAGATGAGATAACAGTGTTGAAGAGGGAGTGGGACTTGAATTGTAGTTTATCATTGAGGATGTATTCCTTGTGTTCTTCGTGTACGTTCATTTTATATATCTCATACTCCTCAAGTGTGTCCAACTTATTACCCTTCCCGCAAAAATGTAAAACTTCCACGCCGGTCTTAATATTTTATGTTATCTAATATTGTACACGAATTGCATAAGAACTATTATCCAGTATCATTGTAGGAACTTATTAAATTAAATTTGTTTACACTATTTTAAATATTAAAAAGTATAAGTGCTATGCGTAATTAACACGCCTAATATACTTTCAGCCTCTATTCTTCCCGACTTTTTTACAATACTGTACTAATGTGAGAATCAGACCTAGACAGATTATATTATGTTGCCATACCTTGCGGTATCCTAAAAACAGATCCTCGATTTCCCTAGCCATTGAAACACTTGAAAACTCTTTAATCTCAATGGAAGGATTTCGACACAATTTTAGGTTCAATCTAATAAAGAACCCCAGAAACATCCATATCATGTATTTATCCCCAAACAATATTCGTTTCGTGGCAATGAATTTTAGCTTAAAAGCCTTATCTTGTACCAAACACAAACCTAAATTGAACAAAATTTTTAAAAGAGATTTAACTTTAACATAAACAAAACAGCGTTTAAATTAGAAGTAAGTCTACGTAAATACGTCAAAGACAGAGCAAACATTTTGTTTTCTCATTACTTTGTTGAAAGAAAATACACTACTCTTATATTTTGTAACATAACCACAGTAACATGTAAACAAAAAGGTAATTCATTGTTGTCTACTATTTTTTCTAACAAATTTAGATAATTCTGTATTGGGGAATCCGCTGAAACAATTATTTTCACGTAGAGCTTTAAATGTCTCTTAGTTATTTTGGTTTTTAATTGTTTACACCAAAAAGCATTACATAGAAATTAAACATACAAGAGGTGATGAGTAAAAGGGATCAAACATTTGAAAACCAGTGTCAACAAGTCAGTGAGGGAGGTCATCGAATGTTTGTCAGCTCCCATATCAGACGCTACGATTCCGATGCCTCCTATTGTTACCAACATACAAGAGGTGATGAGAAAAAGGGATCAAACATTTGAAAACCAGTGTCAACAAGTCAGTGAGGGAGATCATCGAATGTTTGTCAGCTCCCATATAAGACGCTACGATTCCGATGCCCCCTATTGTTACCAACATACAAGAGGTGATGAGTAAAAGGGACAAAACATTTGAAAACTAGTGTCAACAAGTCAGTGAGGGAGATCATCGAATGTTTGTCAGCTCCCATATCAGACGCTACGATTCCGATGCCCCCTATTGTTACCAACATACAAGAGGTGATGAGTAAAAGGGACAAAACATTTGAAAACTAGTGTCAAAAAGTAACTGTCTTTACTTGACCTTCTTTAGGAATGTAGATAAATAGAACCTTAAATATATAAAAATATATATTTTCATTCAAAACAAATTTTTATAAAGGTTTATAAAAATATAAATTGAATAGAAATAGTGTTTTGGTAACTTGATCCATAAAGATTTCTGAGTTAAGGTAACCACTATTTTCTAATTTCCAGCCTTCAGAGGTGTTGTGAACTGCATTTTAGCACCTACCAAAATTCAAGGGCTCTAAAAGCCCCTAAGGGATCAAACCTTAGGTTTGCTATAGGTTGTTTTGAACTATAATTCTCCGCTTCAATAAGTAAGATTACTTTCTTTGCTTTGGAGCATCTGGCTTCAGCAGTAAACACCGTTGAATTACACATATTGAACGGATTTCATAGTCTGTTGAAATAGGTATTATAAAGAACTACTGTATTTAAAATGCCCCCGCCACAGCAAACCTGCAGTCTAAGCGAATTTCCATTCTGACAAACATTCGATGACCTCCCTCACTGACTTGTTGACACTGGTTTTCAAATGTTTGATCCCTTTTTCTCATCATCTCTTGTATGTTGGTAACAATATGAGGAATCGGAATTGTAGCGTCTGATATGGGAACTGACAAACATTCGATGACCTCCCTCACTGACTTGTTGACACTGGTTTTCAAATGTTTGATCCCTTTTTCTCATCATCTCTTGTATGTTGGTAACAATAGGAGGAATCGGAATTGTAGCGTCTGATATGGGAGCTGACAAACATTCGATGACCTCCCTCACTGACTTGTTGACACTGGTTTTCAAATGTTTGATCCCTTTTTCTCATCATCTCTTGTATGTTGGTAACAATAGGAGGAATCGGAATTGTAGCGTCTGATATGGGAGCTGACAAACATTCGATGACCTTCCTCACTGACTTGTTGACACTGGTTTTCAAATGTTTGATCCCTTTTTCTCATCAACTCTTGTATGTTGGTATCCATTGGAGGCACCGGAATTGTAGCGTCTGATATGGGAGCTGAAAAACATTCGATGACCTCCCTCACTGACTTGTTGACACTGGTTTTCAAATGTTTGATCCCTTTTTCTCATCACCCCTTGTATGTTGGTAACAATAGGAGGCATCGGAATTGTAGCGTCTGATATGGGAGCTGACAAACATTCGATGACCTCCCTCACTGACTTGTTGACACTGGTTTTCAAATGTTTGATCCCTTTTTCTCATCATCTCTTGTATGTTGGTAACAATAGGAGGAATCGGAATTGTAGCGTCTGATATGGGAGCTGACAAACATTCGATGACCTCCCTCACCTGTACTTTCTTGTCGCAGTCTGGTACTAACTGTTCCAAATCTCCGAGCGAATCCTGAATTTATGGTTACATTTACTCAGAATACATTAGTAAAACACACTACCTACCATTTTTAAATACAGTAGTTCTTTTGAATTCCTATAGCAACAGACTATGAAAGCCATTCAATATGTGTACCTACTACAACAGTGTCTACTGCTGAAGCCAGTTGCTCTTAGGCAAAGAAACTTATATTTCTCATTGAATCGGAGAATTATAGTTCAAAACAACCTATGGCAAACCTAAGGTTTGATCCGTGATGGGGTTTCAGAGCCCTTGAATTTTGGTAGGTGCTAAAATGCAGTTTATTTAAGTTTGTGATCCTTACAGTTTCTGTTCTAATATTCGTGCAGTATTTAATATGTTTGACTAGCTGTGTGAAATTGTGAGATCAAAATTCTTTTTTAAGTTAGTTCCTTATTTATATTTTTAAACTTTGTAGGTTTGTTTTTGTTACATTGATGCTATGAGTCAATATTTACTTTTACATCTCGCACCTCATATTTTTGAAAGCCCGCGTAGTAGAGTCCTAAGTCAATATCGAAGCGGGAATAGTTCTATATGTACCCTCGGAGCTGTAGCTTTACTTTTGTCCAAATTGAGCCCAGTCGGTTCATTAGTTTTTTAGCTTATCTTACACAAACACTCACAGACAGACACCACCTCTTCTTTATAATAGTTTTGACTATTTATAAAAATCAATGATAATAGTAAGAAAATATTGATAGATATATGCAAGATATACAATGTATATATATAGATATATTGAAGATATACAAGCTATAAATATTCAACAGGCTTAATGAGATTTTCAGGCCCTAAGCTTCTCAAACTTTTTACAATATTTTACTCATGTCAGACACAGTAACCTACACAGATTAGATCCGGATGTCAAATCTTATATCCTCGTAGCAGATCCTTGATTTTCCTGGCCATTAAAACTCATGAGGAACAATTCAGAACCATCTTTTAAGAAATAAACGTCACACACACACTTAAAAACACCTTTTCTTCAATGGAAGGGTTTCATCAACTTTTAGGGTAAATCAACTAGGGACAACCCAGAAACAACTAGTTCTCCATCATTATAGACAACCTCATCATATTACATACTGTTGATCATATTACTGTTTATGTCCACATGGTCTAGGACTGACTGTGTTTGGTCTGTCATTGTGGCTGTGGTGGGAAGATTAGTTTTCCAACATCATGGACTACCTCATCATATTACATACTGTTGATCATATTACTGTTGATGTCCACAGGGTCTAGGACTGACTGTGTTTGGTCTCTCATTGTGGCTGTGGTGGGAAGATGAGTTTTCCAACATCATAGACTACCTCATCATATTACATACTGTTGATCATATTACTGTTGATGTCCACAGGGTCTAGGACTGACTGTGTTTGGTCTCTCATTGTGGCTGTGGTGGGAAGATGAGTTCTCTGACATCATAGACTACCTGGACATCTACCTGATATACTGGGGACTCTATCTCATCATGTTGAAGGCTGTTTTAGTAATCTTCGTATCTTTCTTCGCCTGTGCCAGTGCACTATTGGAGAATACGGTATTCCTTTTCATCGTAAGTGGTGTTATTTGAAAATATGTGTGTGTGTTTGTGTGTCGGTGTGTTAAAAACATGAATTGTGGTACATTATGTGTGTATTTTATTAGGTAACTTTTGGATTATCATCTAAGATTTCAATCCATGTGTGTCGCCCTTGAGCTGTTGGACATAATGTATGACTAAATTACTTACGTAATTCCCGTCACAGCTCAATAAAATATGTCTTTTCAGGACATGTTTCGGTGTTAAAACACCATCGCCAGCTTCAGGTACATAATGTAGAGTTGATCAGTAGTTAACATCGTCAGAAGATAAACACTGTACGAACACGAATAAATATATAAAACAATTAAACATTTAAAAAACAGGCCTGTTCTAACGCAAGACCGACCGCACAGGTAGCAAGGGACAGACTAGACCAGCTTATGCTTATCAGTTGTGTGAGAGAGAAAGAGATATTGGGCAAGGATCAGCTGTTGTAGGATGGACGGAGTTAACACCGAAACATGTCCTGAATAGACATATTTTATTGAACTGTGATGGGAATCACAGACAATTTAGTCTTACATTATCATCTAAGGCAAAAAAAAATATTTGTTGTATGAATTCAAAAAATTCTATTTCTATAAATTTCGTTACGATTTTTTAATTATCTTATTTATAGCTTAAAACTACGTTCTATTTACTTTGAAATTTGTGAAAATAGTAATATATTAAATATAGGGCCTATAATATATTTAGTAAGTAAGCAGTAATGGATACTTAATATTTTACAAGTGGAACTTTCAGTATATAAAATATCTACAATAATCACATCCAAAACCTCTCAGTTATTTTCGTTAATAAATATTTTCCCGCGATTTCAACAGCTTTTAAAGAGTACGGTGTTATATCCAGCAATATTGTTTAAGCTTATAAAAGCGTGTGGGTGAACATTAAGCTAATCGTTCGCTCCAGGGCACAGGTGTCCTTTTACACCGCGTTTGTGAGCTTTTACCGGGACTCTAAATTTTACATTGCACCACGACGTTTATAGCTTAATACCTTCAATGCTGTAGAGTGCAGCCAAATTGAGCCTTGCTTAGGGAAGGACAAAATATTTAGTTTTTCTTTATTGTTTTGTTGTTTACTGTCAGAAGTTTCAACCCTCATTCAAATCATGTGTCGTTAATATAAATTAGACACTTAGTTTCAATTTATATCCTTTCAGTAACTGACGCTTTTCTGTTAAAACTTTATAAATTCAAATATTTCCAATTTTGAAATATTTTATTGGTTAAATGTATTTGATACTTTAAAAGTATATAAATTTAAATATTTCAAATTTTGCAATATTTTATTGGTTAAATATATTTGATACTTTAAATGTATATAAATTCAAATATTTCCAATTTTGCAATATTTTATTGGTTAAATGTATTTGATACTTTAAATGTATATAAATTCAAATATTTCCAATTTTGCAATATTTTGTTGGTTAAATGTATTTGATTCTTAGATAAAGATACCTTTGCAACGATTTCTATGTAAAGAAGATATCACGGATACTTATTTTATCACTTACAACTCCCGGACACATGAAACCAAGGACAGCTTCCTCTTGTAGCTTACGATTGATGCAAACGAAACAATTATCATGATACAATAAAATGCATAATTAAATATATAGTTACACCACTAAATTTATTGTATGGATTTTTGTTTGATTGTGATAAGTTTCTTGTTTCATAAGGCCAGGCGCACACAGACGATTTTGAGTCGCGCAACAGTTGCCCGACTAATCGGGGGACTGTTGCGCGACTCACTCGGAGGCTCTGAAGTCTAGCGACAGTTGAGCTGGAGTGCGCACACAGGCAACTTTTTAGTCGTGAATCTATTCTTGAGACGTGTTGGAAATACATTCGTTCTGTTAAATTACTATCAAAGCAATATTAAAATTCAGAAGGCAGCTTATAATGACTTATTTATAGCCATACTGTAGAGCACATACTTTCTATGAATACAATGCGCTCTATGGCTATAGCTGATACCATTTAACTGATTTTATTTGATTGATTTTGTTACAGAACAGCATAGCCCAGTTGGTTTTGTTCGTGCTTGGGCTGCTCGGAGCCGCGGTATTGTTAACTTTTACATCTGTAGGCTCTGCTACACAGTCTACCATCAACTCTTCTATGGTCAATCTCATCACTTACTACCCACAGAACGACTGGGCCAATGGAAGGCTTAGTTTTATTCAGGAAAATGTAAGTACTATTTTCTTCACCTGGTGTGTGAAGAAAAGTAATGTTTTCGTCTTCGAGTTTGTGTAATGGGTGGATATATCAGTTTTGGGCCAACCTGAACACAAAAATGGTATTTGAAGTTATGTCTGTGTGGGGATTTGTACGTACATACCCCACCTGTGGTCCGAGTTTGATAAAATTTTGTAAATGAGTCTACGGTATCTTCATGTTGTTTAAAAAAAAATTGGAAATTTCAAATTTTAATAGTGGTTACCTTATAAAAACCAATAAAATAATGGAAAACTTAGAAGAGGCTCTACCACCAAAACAGCTCGAATTATTTTGATGATTTGTTTTGGTCTTCTACCCAAAAAATATTGTATACCCAATAATGTAAAACTACTTTTAAAAAGTTATTGCAACTATCGAGATTTTACCCATTAGAGCCTTACCTATTAGAAGTGGTTGTTAATAAGCTAATAAAGTTAGCAGGAGAAAAAATATGTGTCGTTTTGGTGACACAATTTTATTACATATTAGTTTTCAATACACTAAGTTGATAAATAGGCAAACTTTAAGGTCATTAGATAAGCTATTGTTGCACATATTTACGCTATTCAACCCACTTTAATGCGTATAAAAATTATGTACTTAATGTTATAGGAGGCAGCCTGTAAATAGCGCATTTTAAAAGGGCTCAAAACATGTTTCCGAAGCAAAATAAATTCAATGCAAAACATTTTTACCTTTTACCAAAGCTTATCTTTGTTTAAGTAGTTGGGTTACCTAATGAAACTACTAATTTACAATAACTAATTTTATTTTATTTTACACCGTAAAGAGTAATTTATTTATAAATCAGGTTATAATCAAAAAAAGTAGCAAACAAAATCTTGGTTTGAAAACTGTTGCGTCTCTTGTTTACAATCTGACTGGTTAAACATTAAAACTATACAATTCACATTTGTTTAAATGTTATTATTAAAGTTCAACAGAATCTCTGAATCTTTGAAAGTGAGCCCTAGATATAAATTGAACGCAAGGGGGTGAATTTCTAAAGGAAATTGCCTTTTCGCTTATCATTCGTCCCTTTGCTGCATTATAAGCTTTGAAATGACACCTCAATCGTAAAAATATGTTAAGTAGGATGGTGGATAAAGGTATATATACAGAGAAACCCGTTATTGTAATAATAAGTAGGTAGATACATTTTAATCATTTATGTAATCAAGCTGCTTCCTATTGAAAAACGTATTTCATGGGCAAACATTGAGTGTAACTGCAGTTTATAAAATACTGTATCAAGACTGCAAAGCAGTAAGGCAATGCCAGACACATTGACATAACCGCAGTGCGCGATAAAGTTAACCTACTTGTGTCTCTGGCGTTTCCTGAATTCAGTTAATTTTATTGTGATTTATTGTTTGCCTAGTGGGTTACGAGATCAAATCTCTTGTTTTCGTATAAATTTTCTCTAATGTATCCAACGCAAGTGTTGTATTTCAAACTTTGTAACCTCTTTACGCTCTTTGGAGTAATACCAAACAAAACTAATGTGTTAAGATTGATAACGATATTTTGAGACCAACAATTTGTCTGGAATCAATAGTTACCTTACAATATTCAACCCGGATAAGGGTACATATTGTATGTTTTTCCCTATAACTTTGTGACGGTGCAATTTTGTTAAGGGGCAAACCTTACACTAATCGGTTTTGGATAGCTCACTTTTATGAGAATAATAGGGTTAGTAATAATAACTATAGTTTTAAATTAGAACGTTTGGGCTCAGATGTTGGTAAATAGCCCCAAAAAATTCAATAGTGTTCACTATTCAGTGTTCAATTAAACACATTCATAATAGCCCATATAATTTAGGGTGACCAAAGGGAACAAATTTGAATGGTTGGTTTTAGGTCTTAGAGTGAAACCGATTGTAAATAACTTAAATTTTGGACTTCCGCAGAGGAACCGTAATAAAAAACTGGAAAATCTTTAACTAATTTGGTTAAAACATTGTTCACCTTAGAATTAAATCCACGATATTTAAAGTTTAATCAAATAAGATATTCGACCTCCAGAGACTTTTTCGCCCTGGAATAACCTAACGTCAGACTATTTCTGTTGTCTTGCTTGTGCCATATTTATAGGGGTCGCGACACTAGCGCAGCGAGGTGGCCATTCGGAGAACTTACGACCCCACCACAGCTGAATGACTATTAGCCGCTTTTGCGCGGCCATTTTTAAATTATTTGAAATGGTAATTTTTCTTATCTCTTAATATTCTTACTATTGCATTTTTCTACATGTAATTGCCTTTAGCTGGTCAATACTCATCACAAATCTATAAGGGATTATTTTTATTCTATGTTTTAGCCTACCACTTCCACTATCTCACAATCTTCAAGTGATCAATATGGATGTCAAATCTGTAAGGCAATATTTTCAATTTATGTTTTCGCCCATCTATTTCTCTGTGTAACTATCATCAGCTGATGCATGTGCATGGCAAATCTATTAGGTAGAATGTTTAATCTATGTTCTCACCTATGACTTCCTCGCTGTACCCAGGTTGGCTGCTGTGGAGGCTCTGGTGGCCCCAACGACTACGTCAACCGCTGGAAGCCCCTACCCACTGAATGCCGAGACTCCGTCACTGGGAACGCCTTCTTCTACGGATGTGCTGAAGAGGTCACATGGTATCTAGAGGGCCGCTGCTATTGGATCACCGGACTTACCTTGGTCCTCTGCTTTTTCCATGTAATTAAAATTCACTTATGCTTTTTCTTCCTGTTTGTGTAATTTGGTTTTAAGTAGGGTTTAAGCTACCTTGCTTGGTAGATTTTCCCTTTTTAGTAGTATACTGCAACAGTTCCCGAATTCTAGATTCAGTCATCAGGTGTAACAAAATCATTAGGGCACGAAGAAAGGTAATTTGAACTATTAAGCTTAAATATAGCTGTCCAGAGGCTACTACGCCAAGGATTTTATTTTATCCGTTTGCCGTCTGGTTATCCTTTACTTCCCACCCAATGCTTCATCACTTCTTACCTCTCTATTTTCATCATAATCTCCTTTCTTGTTGGTACAATTTACTTCTTCATATGTTCATTATAATTATTTCTAATAATTATTGCTTGACCCATTCTCCTACTGGTTCTCTTTTACCTCATTCCACGGTTTCTTTTTTACTCATGTCTGTATTTTCATCAATTTTGGATGCTTTTCAAAATTAACTCAAATTAATTCTCCTCCCTCCTTTTCTTACTCTCATCTCTTTCTTTTAAAAACTTTACATACTTTTATTTTCCAGTTTTCTTTGTCAAAATCATACCAAGGTTTTCATACTGTCATAAAATCTTTTCCCCTTCTTTCACCACGTTTCTTAGTGTTCAACCTTTTTGTCAACTCTGTGTCGAAGGCTATTACTCACTTCTTCCTCTTCATACAAATTCTTATACCTGTATATTTGTGTTTCTTATTTTCTAGTAAGTCTCCTTTTTATTCTCTTCTTCCCATCGTTCGCCAAGCCATTCTCTCCGTTTTTCTTATTCGTCTTCTCATGTATTCTACTCCTCCTTCCATTTCTTATTCACCTCTATCATGTGTTGCTATTCCCACCCATACGCTTTATTCTCTTATTTTATTATTTTCATTTCCATATTTTAAAATTCTTCAGTTCACACACTGACTTTCTTCATTTGTCATACCATCTATTGTTTGAATAAATCAATAAACAATAGCCCAATGATAAATGACGACCAAGTCCAGACACAACTTGAGTAGGACGTAAATTCGGTCCATACAATCATCCATAGTATGACTGGTGTTTAGCATAACCATATGCCAGCATTTCAAATGGAAATTTGCTTTGTTCTATCAATGAACCTTTGAAGACTGACCACAGCATAGATCAGCTGTTTACATTGTTGTATTGTTGTCTCGACACTGTAGTAGAGTTATTGATTACCTTCCCATAAGAACAATTACGGTGTAGGTTTCGCACATGAATGGGTTCTTGAATTAGGTCTCACACAATCAATGCGGAAAAGACTTTTTTCCTTACATAATGTGTACTGCTATCGATCATGAATAGTTAAGTTCACATAAACTATCCATAAACTTCAAGGATTATTGTTATGAAATACCATGTTTTGTTGTTTTTTAACCCCATTTTCATGTTACAGGTAATCAACTCTGTTCTAAGTTTTATCCTCCTCCAATCAATAAGGAAGGAAGAAGAAGAATCTGGTGGAAGATATAATTAAAATATTTCAATGCATTGAAATATCATATTATAACATAATAACTAAATTAGCACTCTTAAGACATTCGAGAACTGCCAATTTCTAAGTACCATGACCATATTTACTGTAAAGAACGTATTTTCCGCCACGAATTCTGTAAACAATCTTTTTCACTTACAAAACAGTTGCATGTTTTTGTGTGTAACCTATTTGTTTAGTATTAAGGTATATTTAGTTTGTATTAGCTGTGTTGTTTGTTATGATTTTGTACGTAAGTTAACTTAAATAAATAAAATTATGTATACAAATTCATGTGTAATTAATTGTACGCGTTATTCTAAACCTGGCCAAATATTTTACTTCAAAAATTATTAATCAGTATAAGTGTAAATATATTATTTTAAGTGTTATTTGGCGTAATTTTGTGCTTTCAGGTAATTTTATAATACGTACTATGCTGATCAATAAGTTATTTAATAATCTATTGGAATTTTTAAAATATTTTTATGCAACCCTGGTCCTGCTGGGGAAACAATAAGCTTAGTATTTAGTGTTTATTTAATCTTTGTTAGTTTAGTTGGTATTTACTGAACATTATACTACAATGGTAGTGCGTTAGGCTGTTAGTTCTCTCTGTTAATTCGTTGCTAGTTTGCCGTTTGTATTATTAGTCACAATTAATATTGACTGATTTTAGCGAATTTCCCTATAGGGAAGTAGCTATTACCGTAGGTCTCATGGTAAGACTTAGGCCCGGGACCGATATACTTTTTCATTTTGATGTCCCCAGAGGCCAAAAACACCATTCGTTAAAATTGTTATATATGTATATATATATATATATATATATATATATATAGATTTATATATATATATATGTGTCCGTGAACACGATAACTTGAGTAATTTTTATCCGATTTTGATGAAATTTGGTTTGAGGGTGTAAGGCAGGATAAACTTGAATGAGTTCGCGATCCAGCATGATCGGACCATGGGAACAGGGTTTTATGGGGGGTTTTATGGGGTAAAAATTGGTTTTTCTCACTTTTGACCCTCAAAACACAAAATTTCCCAATTTTTCTCTAAACCCTCTTAAAGAACTTAAAAAAACAAACAATTCAGTATATCAAAGTGTTTCTGTACGGTTATTGGTTACGGAGAAAACTAAAGAAATGGTAAATTTAAAATTCCCATGTTATTCTTATGGAGAATATTGTAAAATGTTGTAGTCTGCTTGTTTATGGATATATTTTGATCAAACTTGGCAAATTTATTTATTTTATAGTAAGCTATCAATATTTTACTAAAAACACTCTTTATTAGTTTCCTTGTAGCAGCAAACCTAGGTACTCGTTAAACCTAATGTTATTTAAATAGATCAATTGAAAATCAATTCAGCCAAATGGAAATTCGCTTAGACGGCAGGTTTGCTGCGGCGGGGGTATTTATTATCTTGTTAGTCACCATTAGCTCGCAAGTGTGACTACCGTTACGACACTGTCTATAGATTACAACGCATAATAGTAGTCTTTAATATTAGGCAGAAAAGATCTAGAAAAATCTTTTACTACTTAGCGGATTGCTTACTTGAAAAACATGTCTAAGCTCTATACGCCCTAAATATTTGGATCATTGAAATAATTAACTATGGATGCATTTTCATGTATGATTACTAATACGACACTATGAGCACAAAAAAGTGTGGAAAGTCCTTTATTATCTAAATATAAATCCACTAGGAACGATATAACAATTTTAAAATAATAACCTATTTCACTACTAGTGTCGAAAGTGGGATTTTCCTTTGCGAGTTTCAATTTTATGTTTAAGGCAAGCCGAACGCAGAAACACCTCAATTTACGTACGAGGCAAAACCGAGTACTGGAGTAATTGGAGCAATTGTCTCAAAATCACATTTAGTACATTTTTTGAACGATACTTTTCATCTCATTGCAAAAATACACAGATATTAAATGACCTCTGCAAAACTGAAATTATATTGTTTTCTAACTAACATTTTGTAATATGAAAACAATGGGATCCAATAGTCAATGGTGATAGCAAACCTATTTAGCATAAAAATGAGAATGAAATCTGAGTGTGCATAGGAAAATGGCTCATTTGGTTCTCGTAATAAAAAAACTATTACACTAGTGTACATTGGCATACAGTATTAACGTCTACAACAGTTATAATAACTGTAATTATTTCTCCTTTATTACTGTTTACGAGGAATCAAATGTAATGTCACACAGTTCAATAAAAGGTTGAACGTATGTTAAAACCGTCCCTGGACATCGGGAGATCATACTATTAAATCGAGTAAAATAGGTTTCGATTCCGTTATTGGTAACTGTAGCGTGGAATTGGAAGTGTGTATTAGGTGGAAATTGAGGTGATTGGATTTCTGTCACGTGCTGAACGTTAAGGGGGCATCAACCGCTGACCACTGGTCCTTACGACGGTCATTGAGAGTGGCTATACCTATACAATCTCTGAGGATATTAGTGGCTATACAGTATACAACCTCTGAGAATATTAGTGGCTATACAACCTCAGAGTATATTAGTGGCTATACATTATACAACCTCTGAAAATATGAGTGGCTATACAATCTCTGAGAATATTAGTAGCTGTACAATCTCCGAGAATATTAGTGGCTGCATATTATACAACCCCTGAGAATATTAGTGGCTGCACATTATACAACCCCTGAGAATATTAGTGGCTATACATTATACAACCTCTGAGAATATTAGTGGCTATACATTAAACGACCTCTGAGAAAATTAGTGGCCACACATACAATATCTGAAAGTATTATTAGCTGTACATTATACAACCTCTGAGAATATTAGTGGCTATACCATTTACAACCTCTGAGAATATTAGTGACTATACATTATACAACCTCTGAGAATATTAGTGACTATACATTGTACAACCTCTGAGAATATTAGTGGCTGTACATTATACAACCTCTGAGAAAATTAGTGGCCACACATACAATATCTGAAAGTATTATTAGCTGTACATTATACAACCTCTGAGAATATTAGTGGCTATACCATATACAACCTCTGAGAATATTAGTGACTATACATTATACAACCTCTGATAATATTAGTGGCTGTACATTATACAACCTCTGAGAAAATTAGTGGCCACACATTATACAATATCTGAAAGTATTATTAGCTGTACATTATACAACCTCTGAGAATATTAGTGGCTATATATAACCTCTGAGAATATTAGTGGCTATACATTGTACAATATCTGAAAGTATTATTAGCTGTACATTATACAACCTCTGAGAATATTAGTGGCTATATATAACCTCTGAGAATATTAGTGGCCACACATTATACAATATCTGAAAGTATTATTAGCTGTACATTATACAACCTCTGAGAATATTAGTGGCTATATATAACCTCTGAGAATATTAGTGGCTGTACATTATACAACCTCTGAGAATATTAGTGGCTATATATAACCTCTGAGAATATTATTGGTTGTACATTATACAACCTCTGAGAAAATTAGTGGCTATACCATATACAACTTCTGAGAATATTAGTGGCTATACAATCTCTGATAAGCTTTCAGAGGCTTGAACATCCCTGGAGACACTTTTGTATAGTCAATTTCTAGGGTGTAAAATTAGTTTTTAAAATTATGTTATTTAATTTGTTTACGCTTTAGATTCCTATCTAACTGCAAATGTGATATAAGAAATAGTATTATTCATTTTACGTACGGCCGTTTAAACTAGTCTTTTCAATTCAGTTCTTAGAATTGATTGAAATTTGAATTGATCACTATACAATGAGTCATGGTTGGGACAATGTGTCTTTGCATCACGATCAGTGGCAATGAGAGGTTTTTACGGAAACATAACCTACATTAGACGTTATGAGTAGTGATTGTTAATAATTAAAATCCATCGTATGTAAAGTAGTGTAAGCAACCCGCGTAAATAGCCTTTATGTGAACTACTATAAATAAACAGAGTTCAATCATTTGTCCAAAGTTTATTTCTTCTGAGCAGAATGTTAATCGCTTGTAATTAAAATCCCAAGGCACAGCGTTCTTTTCATTGTGTCAAAACCTTGTTAATATTTACCACTTACAATAAGAGAAGTAAAGGGAATGCTGTTGGATTAGGAAATGTACAAGTATTTAAATTTTAAGGAAATGAGACACATCTTGTTAACTTGAGCAAGAAAAAACAATGCATATAATAAATACAGTCACCATATTTTATCAAACTATACCCATAAAAAGTAAAATAAAATGGTTGAGATATTCTCCATAAGAAAGGCTCACTCTTTAAGAGCTATTTGACTCTAACCCTCTCAATAAAGAATATTGCTCACTAAAAAACCTGGTTCATCTCGAAAAAACTTTAGGAGTTGTGAAATTGAGAAGTTCATCAGAATACAGTGATGCAAATCCTAGCAACATCTGACGCTCCTTGTTTTGCTCCGTTCCAGCGTCGGCGTCACCCGTTACCTGCATAATTAACGCGGATCTAAAGTTTATTTTCACTTAGTTACAGTAAAAAATATTGTTTTTATCTTCCGTTTATGATTATTAATTTATTTTCGTAAGTCTTTGTACCTTTGGACGTTGTATTTTGTAAGTTTTTAGTGAGTATGATGGAATTATTAGATATGAGGTAAAACATGTCAATGTCATTGATATTGAGGTGGGAACATGCATCACTTTTTGTATCTTTCCGACAAAATAAATGAGGAAATCAAGTTTGTTGTACCTTTTAATTTTATATTTAATCAAAAACATTGTAATACATCTGTATTCTAACACATAAGAGCTTTTAAAACTTAATGTCGTGTTATTAATACTAGAAGTCGTCCCGTGGTCGAAAGCTCGACCAGAAATGTGAATTGTGCGAACTTCACTAATTTCACCCCACGCTGAAAAAAGATAATTTGATGGAATTTCTTTAATTTGTTTTAATTTTCTGTTTATATTTCGTTGTTATTTCGTCATCAGCATATCAAGGCGCATGTATATTTGTTTTAAATTTTTAATTAAATTTTTGTGCTAATTTTTGAGCCCATTATAATTTATAAAAGGATTCTGCGCATCTACAGTCAAATATACTTTATTTCTAACAGTATGCGTAGATTGTCTGTCCCTTCGATGCTTAGAAAACAGGTTTTCAAAAAACATGCTTGCCTATTAATATCCAGGATTTTTAAAAATTATTTTCTATTAAAAATGTTTATCACGGAATAATTTTTCTTGTTCAAATGA